TGGTGGGAAGAAAAACCACCCTGCATCTTTTTTTTTTGCTGTACCTCACATGCTGATTTCTTGAGTAACTTAGAGCTATAACAGAAAATCAAAACAACACATTGCAGATAGATATAAGAGGAGGATAATTATGACTCTTTTCCTTAAATACGCATGTAGCATAGAGGGGAAGCTCCGGGAGGAGAACTATCTGTTTAAATCTTACTCTTTCAAGTGCAAGTTCATTCCTATGTCTCTACCACAGTTTACAAATTTAACAACAGGTAGCCCAGGGAAGTTGATGATGACTGAGGATTAACAAGAAAGATTTATGATTTGTATGCAGAATACTAGGGCTGTTACTGGTTTTTTTTTTTTTTTTTTTTTTTTTTTTTTTCTGGAAATTTATTTAAGGTTTGATCAAGAAGACATGTTTGAATATGATTTTTTGTGTTTAGAGAAGAGGTAAAAATGTTTTTTTTTTTTGTATCCCTGAAAGAGAAACATTATGCTTGCAGCCATTGGGGATGCCATTGAAATGTGGTGCCATAGTCTGCGGGTTACACCCCTCTTGCACCTTTTCCGAGCACCCAAACTGCTGTCACAGCCATTCCAGGAAGTGGTGGGGACTGGGGCTGCGCTGCAGCAGCATCCTAGTTCTGCTGACATATCCTGGGGCCTGGGATGCCACAGGGGATGGAAACCTATCTGTGACATTGCCAACAGACTCTGTTTAATCAGTCACATGAACCACACAAACATGTATTTCCTGCTTGCCAAGCCTTGCTTCTGTAACTCACCAATCACTATGCTACATATTTTTTGGAAAGATTTAAAAAAAACCCCAATGTTCTTTTTCTTTCACAAAACTGTTGCTGATGGCTGTGTAAGGCAGAGGCAGAATGCCATAGATTAGCTGCATAATGAAATGGATTAGAGTGCTGTGGAAGAACATTATGTTTCTATCAGACTGTCAAAATATTGCATATTTAATGTGGCAGCCAAACTAGAACCAGGGAAGCCAGAAAATGTGAGGATAAAACAAGATAGCAGCAATAAAAATTATGTCTGTAGCTTTCTTCTGTGAATAAAAAAACTGCCCTGAGATCTGTCATAGAATTTTATCTTTGACTTGCAGCATATTAATGCCTTTTTTATTTTTCAGCTGGATTTACARGATTTCCGCACTGAGCAGACAGCTCAGTAGCAATCAAAGCAGCACTTAAAAAAAGAAATCCATGCAAGTGGTTGGCTCTGTAGAACATTTCCTGATTCAGMCTAAGCAAGAGTGGACAGTATGTCACCCAAGATGACGATGATGATGGTAGATGTAGAATTATTTTACTGTACTGTTTAAAACACTTTGCTGTTCCATCCTGGCATGAAGAATATGCCTCTTACCACGTAGTTATACACTGTGTTGTCTTACTCCTGCTTTATAAGCAAGGCAATCGGTGCCTCTGGCCACGGATTCCTGCCACAGCTTCGCTCCTGTGCATGCCTCAGTATCTGTGGCTGCACTTTCAGCCAGTCCACTACCATAATGTGGGCATCTCCTAACAGGCAGCACTTCAGTCGAGCTCTGCAGCAGCTCTGTTTCTAGAGAGTATGAATGAGAAACGAGCACAGGTGGCACAAGGGGTGGAGCAGGAGCTTTCCAGACAGTTTTGCTTTTGAAGGCAGTTTATCAACAACCTTTGTACTGGCCTGGCAGCCAGCCATGGTTTGTCACTTGCAAACTAAGGTGGGCTCCATGCACTGCGGTGTTGGAGCAGGCAGTGGGTGGCTCTTGCATATAGGGCAGCCTCCCGTCCACTGCACGTTACAACATCCATCGTATTCCTGAAAGCCAAGTGACTTTTGGGAGACTGGTGCCTTGGACTGTTTTTTTTTTTTTTTTTCTTTGTTACCTGTCTCCTCTCTTTCCCCACAACTTAGCTATTAATATGCACAGTTTGGTGACACACAGACAGCCCCTGGAGCTCCGCCAAATCCTGCCCAGAGTACTTTTCCATCAGAAGCCCTTTGTTTTTTGACACAGCTTCACTTTTGATCCAGATCAATAGCTTGGGGATTAAAGCACGCCTGTAAGTCCCCTACAGGCTGCTGACGGGGGCATGTTTGGCAGCTGAAAATAATCTCCCCAGCTGGTCCTTGGCTCGGTTTGCCCTGTCCTAATGGATCTAGATTGGTTTTTTTTTTTCTTGTGCTCTCTCTTTCACACAGAAGCCTTAAGTCAATATGCAGCAGTATAAAAAAGAAAAATTGATGCTGCAGTTGTGAGCCAGATGTGGCATCATAAAACAAAAATACGCATAAAGACTGAATCTTTACATTAATCCCAAATTATGCCCCTATTATCCCACTCTTGTCTTCCTTTGTCCAGAGGCTGTAGGGACATCCTGTCTGGAATCTATAGATGCCTTTTGATTTCCATGGAGGGTAAAGCTTCATAGCATGTCCCTCTGTCAGCCACGGATTGCCACAACAGGCACAGCTATGGCCATGTTCCCTCCGTGTCCATCACAGGTCTCCTGGCTTTGCATCTGCCTTGCGGTTCCAGAGCTGAAGAAAAAAATGCATATACTTGTACAAAGAAAGACTCAGAGATTAGGAAGTGGTGATTTAAAATGAGTAAATGTAATAATAAAAATACAGTATCAAGATTTCACTCTTGTCATCGTAGACCTCTGAGTCAGAGACTAAGATTTGTTTCTGTCTCGCCTCCACTTTGATCTTACCTTCTAATGGTTTTAAATACTTTTTTCCATACTCTACATTGTGAGGTTTTGTTCTTTTTAATTATTTAATTAAAGTGATTTTGTGAAGTGGTGATCATTGATAACGTGATTTCTTAAGCCATAAAATAAAAAGCTAATAGAATTAGCAGTATAATAACAGTATAATAATAGCATCTTTGTGCCTTCTGAGCACCTTTCATCTCAACAGTATAAAGTGCTTTTACATGCAAGTATGTAGTCTACGGTATGCCTTCTGTGCAGAAAAGTAACAATATTTGTATTTAACTTGTTTTAAAAAATAAGAAAGGATGAGTGACTTGCTGAAATTCTTAATCTAGCAAAGAACTTCACGAAGGACACAAATACCTGCAGTACTCATATATTTGGCTGTCTGGATCAGAGCCCAGGTGAATAAGGAAGCAAGTGTCAGATACTGAACCAAGAGAAATCAGTCCTCCTGGTTCTCCATCTGGCTTCAGAAGAAGTGTTTCCATGGTGGAAAATTCTCTATTTAATTTGCATAATTGCATCTTGTATTAACAATTTTTTAAAGTTGCGTTTTGTAGAGCATTTTTTTTACATGCTTGGCACTAAATAAATGTAATTGACATTTGCATCCTTGATGGTTGCTATATCTTTGTCCTTTGGGGGTCCAGCTGAGGACTACCATCCTCAAAACTGTAAAACATAAAACAAATAGTAATGAAACACATTCTAAGTGCTGAAGCAATAATTTTATTATTTAGGTGGTTCATACTTGTCTTAAACCTTCGGGCGAGGAATAGTTGAGAAGTTTGTGACTACAAATTGGAATTAGCAGTATGGAGCTGGAGTAATACAGGAACCTTGGCTGCTTCAGCAAAGTGTTGCACTCTCCCTATTGCACAACCAGGGCAAAGAACAACTGAACAGGGACTCTGCTAGGGACTCTGCTGTAATTCTAAGTGGTGCAGACTCAAGACTATATCTTTGCAATCAATACTACATGACAGTAGAATAAGCACCTTAAACCCACTCAAAATCTCCATTTAGCAAGGACCTGCTGTGATCAGAACACGATCACATTCCGTGATTTCATCAGTAACACCTGTTTCTGGGGGAGCTGAGTGCGTGTCCGGCCTAGGCACCCCGGGTGACGCGAAGGGCTCTCCCCGCCGCAGGGTCCTCCATGGTCCCTCCATGTGCCCGAGGTGCTCCCGCTGGAGCCCGCTGCTCCGCGGCCGCTGCTCCCTGCCCTGCGCGGGCCCTGCTTCTCCTCGGGGACTGACTGCGCAGCTCCTCAGCTCGCCAGCCCTCCAGCTCGTGCTCCAGGCCAGCCTCAGCTCCAGCTCATCCCGCGGCCGGGGCTGAGCCCTCGCCGCTCCGCGACAGCTACAGCAGAACAGCAGGGCCCGAAGGGACGCGGGCCCAGGGACGCCCGCGGGTCAGCGCTACGAGCCGCCGGG